TGTGCAAGTGAAACTGGTAGCTTTATTTAGTTAGGTTCAGGATACTAATATGAATGTCTTTAATGACCAATGACAATGGCAAGTTAGAAAAAGAAGAATCTAATGAACTTGGCCATCTTCAGATTAAGGCAACAAGTTGACCATAGCATACCTTCCGGGATATAAGTTGTTTTCCTAACTCCACCCATTTATTCTTTGCAGCCTGAGCACAGCCTATTTTGAAGGCAGCGGGGTTTAGCTTTTTCTGCAAGGAACACCAGCTTTCAGTTTTTTTTACCAAAATTTACTGGTACAGTACGAAAATAGAAAATTCAATACAATCCCCTAAAAGAGCTATCAAAACTAATTAGTGAGAACAATTAAAGTTATCATAAATCTTCAGTGTGTGGAATAATAACCTGAAGTTCCTCTTTAGAGATACCTTCCGGCGGTATTGCCAGGAACAGTTGCACTTCAGGTGATCCTGCAGCAGCATATGTCTTCCCCTCATCCGTTAGCACCCATGTCTCCCTCTTAATGTCCTGCATGATAACACGGTTATCGCGAAGGTAAATTCGATCTAAACTATAAACCCGTCATAGAAGCTGCTTCGAGTGCAAACCATTTAAAAAAAAAAAAAAAACCATTTCGAATGCAAACAAGGTTATAAAAAGTAATGTACAGAACAGTCATCGATATCCTATACTATTTTTCATTAAATTTAGGATCTTGCGCGAAGCTAAGTTTTGCACTGTAACAAATGTAACAAAAACAGCAAGTAAACGATCATGGGTAGTGAAAGGTGTAATTTATACAAAGAACCATTGCGACAAGCTTTCAGGGAAAACCAAGAACTCTCATGAATACAGAAGCAGTGGGTGAAGCATAAAGATGGCGATGACTAAGAAGAAATGTATGGCACCTCAGCATCGACATATCCAAAACCGTGGAGGCTCTTGATGACATTAACGATCTCATTGTGGTCAATTCCACGTTCAGAAGCAAAGACACCGGAATCTGAAATTACTTCGCCCTTTTCCAGGTAACTGAGGATTGCTTCTTCTGCCATTCTCAATCTATCTCTGCGCTCCCCTTTGCAGCGACGCGGAAGAGAACGCAGGCCAGGGCAAAAACTAGACTGGGTCGGACTCCGACGGATTTTGCAATTATTCTATCTAACCTTTTTTTTATGGGGCACATATTCGGTATTCCACTTAACTATTAAACTCCACTAGTTTTGATTCGCGGCTTCTCTGTTTTAACAATAAGGCCCGGCCCAGCTCACCAGGTGAAAAGAAGATTAAATTAATGGTTGGTTTTAGGAAAGTGGAGTGAAAAATTTTAATGAATTCCATTTAAAATATTAAAAGAAATAGGATTAAAAGTTTTTAACTAATTTTATTTATTCTTTTATCTTACATTTTTTTGACCCCACTAAACTCATTAAAATTTTTTCTCTACTCCCATATAATTTTCTCATACGAATCATGGGTTAAGAAAAATGGGTATTGAATCCAAAGGAGGATTAAGGGGATATTGGGAATGAAAATCAAATCACAATTTTAGAAATAATTTTACAAAATTCAATATAAGTATGTGAGAGAAGTTTTACCTCAAAAATACTTTTTAAAATTTTTTTAGAGCTCCCAAACACTTTTAAATTTGAAATCACAAAAAGTAAAGAGGAATAGTCCAAATTCCAGAAAAAGGGGCCGTACGGGGAATCAAATTCGAAAGGAACCGAATTTAATTCGAACTTTTATTGGCAGATCTAAATGTAAAATATGGTATGAGCAGTGTTTTGATTCGAGATGCTTAAAAATTAACTTTTTAACTTTTTTTAACTGTCTGAGTAATAATTTTATTTAAAAATAAATTTTAAAAGAGGAGGGGAGGATGATTGAATTCCTGTTTTTCTGAAGGATAAAAATAAAATCAAAGGCATAAGGTTCGAATAATTTGACATTTTTACCTCCTTTACAATGTTTTTTATTTAAGTACTGTGATCATAAGTAGAGCGGTAATATGGGCTCAACCCGCCAACAAATAGCAGGTTGGGTTGATAAAAATTAGGACCGTTTTAAAATGGAAGTTTTGAGCCCATAACCGTCAAACCCAAACTCGCGGCGGGCTAACCCGCAGGGTTGGCATGCCAACCCGTTTAACCATATATTTTTTTGTTGCAAAATTTTCCCTTTGCCTCTCAGTCTCTACACTCTTAGCATAGTCCACAGTACAACAGTGAGCGGTCCATGTCCAACAGTCTAACACGGCAATACTAAGACGGTCCCATTTTCACATTTTGCTTGCGTGTCGCACTCCTCCCAGACTCCCAACTCTCCCAGACCCAGTCTCCCAGTCGCCCTTGGCCAGTCCTAACTCCCAAGTCCCAAGTCCCAAGTTCTCTGCTCTCTGTCTTTGCTTTGCGCCTTTGTCCTAGCTCATAAGTGATGATTGAGCACTTGATAGTTGATACTTGATAGTGATTTGTGTAGTGACATTGTGTTTGTGACTTTGTGGTAGTGTTAATTTGGATTTATGTTTTAATTTGAGATGTTTGTTAAATTATTAAGGACATATCATGTTCATTTAATCATATTTTAATATTTTGATATATTTGAAACTTGAAACTTGGAACTTTGGATGGGTTTCGTGTTTTATTTATAATAATTTTTATTTGCATGTTTTATTTTAGGTATTTAGGAATTTGGGACTTTGAGTAGGTTTTATTTTTAAAAAAAAAACAAAATTTGGCAGGTTGGCAGGTTACCCTCGCGGGCCGGGTTGAAAAAATTCCAGCCCGTCAGAAAGTGATCCTAAAAAGCCCAGCCCGCCAAGCTTCAGGCCCGACACGGGCCAACCCATAATCAGCGGGTTGGCCCATATTACCGGCTCTAATCACAAGTGGCAAAGTATTTTGTGAATTTGGGAAATTATCAACAGGACGATTATATCTCATCTGGCTCAGCCTAATTTTTACATCATGGTAACTCAATATAATTTTGTCTAAGAAAACACAATATAATTTTTGAAAACTTATTAAATATAAATTAATAATAATTGTAGCATCATATTTACTTTGTTTTGTAACTACACTAGACAAACCTTTTGAACATGTTATTGGCAAATTTTATGGAAAACTAAAATAAAAATAATAACTTGGAATTGGCCCCAAAAAAAGGTGATTGAAAGTCAACTTGAACAAGAGCACACGACGTCGTAAAGACTTTGCTTCCGCACCGGCAGGTAGGGTTAAGTGGCCGGTATTCACTCGCCTGTTTCGCCCAGCTTGTGTAACAGAATTTCTGAGTCAGCAATGGCTTCTTCGTTCTGTAAATCAGTGCTAAGGGTAAGCTCAAGGTCTTTCGGTAATCGTTCTAGTAGCTTAATCCAAAAACACCAAAATGCTGCATCTCTACCGGCTATGTTCTCTTCGCGTTCGTCTACGATCATCCCTCACACTTCAAGGTAAACACAACCTCAGATTCAACTCCACACTCTAGTTTCTTTCATCACTTCACTTCTCTCTGCTCATTTTAGTCATTTCGATATCAACATCACCTTTATGGACCAGAGCTGAACTTCGTTATTACTGCTGCAACTGCTCCTTTCTCCATATTGATTTGCACTTTTGCGTTAAGGTTTATTTTATTTTATTTTTCATTTTGAGTTATGGTTGTTGTAGGATTTTGTCTGTACTTGGAAGTTTTGAGTCTATGATGCCTCTTCATACCGCCATTGCTGATGCTAGGCTCACTTCCAGCATCGCCTCCGATTCTACCTGCTGGAGCTGGCTTTCTCGAGGTTCTACTTTAAGTTCTATGTCTCTACTAGTTACAGGCAGTAACGAAACTAGAATTCAACTAGCAAGGGATATTTATTGGACTAAGTCTGAAAATATGACCACTAAAGTGATTCATAACCTAAGAAAGTAAGAAATAAGCAGTGTTGCCTAAAATTTAGGATTCAATTTGACATGACATAAAACTAGATTACATAGCTTTGGCAAAAAGGGAAAACTAAATAGCAATAAATAAATTGTAGTAGCTCCTAAGGGCAGAGTAATGATATACAAATTTATGAAACCAGTGTATTTCAGCCGTCCTTAAAACTGAGTATAATTATTCACAACTTTAAATGCAGCTATACAAGAATGTTTAATTGTTTATCGAATAATTGTTGTTTTATGGTACTTCTTAAATTGATAAGCAATGCCAGTTCGGCAATTACTTTTTAACGTGTTTGAGAGTATCTTATTTGCAAAGGGATGGAAAATGTTTTTTTCTTAAACCAAAAAAAAAAAAAACTCATTGCTATTTTCTTGTTCTTACTTTGCTGGTGTTTTCTTATTCATGCACCAATTTTGAATATAATGCACTTGGTTTATGACTTGTCTGTCGTTTTGTCCAGTAGTTCCTTGACATTTTTAAGCATTTGTATTCCTTTAAACTGCTATCTCTAAGGAAAGAAGACAAAATCAAATGATTAGCTGAACCCGTTATACAGGGTAGTATACTAATTACGAGTTAGTCTTTTTCCGCAAAACTAATTCCATCTGTTTACATATGAGCCTAATTTCTAATACTACGTTAGCTTTAGAATGGCCGTTTGGTATTTTGGCATCTCCACACCATATTCGAGATGCTACTCCAATTGCATATATCCCAATATTGATCCCCATAAAATTAAGACCCTACTTGTTGGAATAACAATTGCAAATATGCGTTGCACCCCTTGGATTATGGAGTTTTGATTTCCAGATATTTCGCATTGCCATGATATCAACATTCTAAATGTAGACTTGCAAAAATACCAGATACTTTGCATAATGGTGTGATATTGCTAGCATAATTTATTGCAATATGCCTCCGTAGTATTAATTGCACCGTGAGCTAGACATTCGGGTATGGATTTTACCAATGTAATCTTAATTTGCATGCTGACACTTTCTTGTACCTTGTTGTATAGGACTTGAAAAAACATTGTGACAAGCCTGCCGGATTCATTCAAAATGAAAGATAAAATGAGAGAAAAATGTCGTTTATTTCTCTGCCTCGCTTTGAGGTAAACAGAGTTTCTAATGGTGAAATTTTGGTCATTATATGGTGGATCACCTATAGTAGACTTACACAGTTGAATTTCTTTATTTGGATGAGAATTGGTGATTGACTTGCTGCTGATTACGTTTTCTCTTTGAAGTTCTCTCTCTCGTTTTCAAACGACAACACTTCCACTCACTGTTTCCTGCAATGTTGCGGAGTGGCCTAACTATTGGATTTATGGTTTTCCTTTAGGGACGTTGAACTGGTGCTTCGAGGTTTCTAGTTGTTTCAACGTTTTAGATAGATGCTGCTAAAATGATCATCTGATTCTTGGCTTGGTTGTGAGTAAAGTTTTCCTCCAAACAAGTCAAGGAACTACCGTATTGACTCTGCTTAGTGTAGGATCCTAAACAATTCGACTACAATGTGAATAGGAAACTCGATCAAATAATGAAGAATTGATGATACTTGATGACAGAATGGAATTTGCTTGATTGTTTTGGTGCTCGAAACTGGGGAATGATGTTGCTCTTGGCATGTTCACTCTATCTTTGCCATCGCATACGATATGAGCCCCGCCAGTGGGTTAACAATTTGAGTGGCTTAAGTCTCAATTCTTATCTCAACTTCACATGTCATCCTTTTCCTCGCCATTTTCTAATCATAGATTGTTAGATAAAATTTTGGACGGCTCACATTTAAAATTTTATAAAATCAACTATAAACTTAATTTTATAAACTATTAAATGTGAATGGTTCAATTGGACGGTTGAAGAGATTGATTTGGATAGTGGACAAAATCTGGACCTGTTTGGTTTTGAATCGCTCCGTTGGCCTTTGCCTCTCCTGTGAGTCTTTCACAAATCAACTAGATTACTAATAGGAGTTAGGTCTAGCAGAAGGGACTAGTTTCTCATAAAGTGGTGAATCAAGGTTCGAATCCCTACTGGAAAAGGTGTTCACATTTAGTGACTGACAGTGTTTCGAATATGATTGCCTCTGATAAGAGGATATCTATGTTTTAGCAAAAAAAATAGATCCCTCCACCTCATCTAGTGGACAAAAGGAATCACGTCATGCTCCCTAGTGTTCAAATTTGGTGCTCGTCCTTTGATGTTACTTTTGAAGTAATTCACATGACATATGATTGGAATACATTCGATCATCTTATTGTTACATTTTTTGCATTATATTTCAGTTAAGATAAAAAAAATTAAAATTCATCTTTTAAAGAAAAAAGGGCAATTCAATTCCCACCCAGACAGTCTAATAAGAAGCGTATTTGACTATATGTTGTCCGTTTATTTTCCTAGCAACTTAATATGAGCATGATATCCATTTCCCTACAAGTTCTCTTGAGTTAATCTCAACCGTCCAAAAAATCTAACGACGGAGAGAAACGACAGCAGGGTACAGCCGATTTGAGGTGCGGTAGAGAAATCATTTGGGAAAATTCCAGCAGGTTGGCATGCGATGTGACCTTGTTGACATTATCTTGGGCCATATGGGTTTCACGTGATGTGCTGGCCGGTTGTGGCCCGTCTATTTCCAATTCTTTGATGTCACGTTATTTACTACTATTGGAAGGGGGTTTCCTCACATTTTTCGTTAAACTTATCGATAAAAGACGACATCCTAATCTATCTATCTACTCCACGGTCCCTTTTCCACAGGGCGCCACGTGTCACATCCTCTTTAATTTCATAACATGCTTTCACTTGCTGCTTATATCGTTATCTCCCGATTTTTCATGCTAAACTAATTGGTAGTATAATGCAAAATATCAACCATTTGTATATTCTTTACAAGGATAGGCATCGCATTTGAACCAAATCTATTCGCCAATTAATTCATATTGTATTACTTAACTGAATTGCCATTTTTCTCTGGCCTTAAAAGTAAGCTGCACTCGTTGGACTTGATTACAAGATGGTCAACAGGCAAAATTGTTACGTTTTATTATTTTTTGTGATTATCATAACTTTAGAAATCATGTTCTTTTTTTTTTTTTTTTTGCCAATTAGAAATCATGTTCTTATTTTATTCTTACAGTAAAACTCAATCTTGAAAGGGGAGCAGTAGTTAGCTAAGTAATATTTGGCAGGCGAATTGACCACAAAAGCAAAAAGAAGAAGAAGAAGAATATAAAATTGATCACAGATGCAAGCATTGAGCCTGAAGGATAATTACACACCCACATAACTTTTTATAGTATATGAGAAATTAAATATTAAGCTTTTCAAGTGCAGAAATATTTTGTCAGAAGCAGACACAATTTAATTTAGAGTACAGAGTTATGCAAGGAAAGAGACCAAGATATTTCGGCTCGAGATAAGGACGACCTAGCAAGGACCCGGCGAAGCACGGGGGTCTTAAAACTTTTTTTTTTTTTTGCATAAATGAATAAAAGATTAGTAAAATAGGAAACAAAATGGAAAATTGCAAAAAAAGACCTTGAAATTACAAAAACACAGATAGGGACCCTTGACAACTTCAGGGCATATTATTCTTGTCAAAACCCAAAGTGAAGTTGTCAAGGGTTCCTATCTGCGTTTTTACAATTCGAAGGTCTTTTTTTGCAATTTCTCCAAATAAAATTAAAGGGGTTTAATGTGGCCAAGAAAAGAAATCTTATACTCTTAATATAAATTGTGATTCGTCGTCATCATAGGATTGTACAGAAAGAAAATAATAAGCTTGTCCATGTTTATTCGATACGTTGTCCCTGTGAAAGTGCATATTCTCGCTGTTGTGGATAAGACCTCAGGAATATTAGGGGCAGAACGAGTCCTCTATCCTAATTACAATCGATCCGGATCTTCTACAACTTCCCTGTGCGTCAAAATTTTTTAGCGAACTGCAAAACTGGGAGAAGAATCCATATGCCATGTTGTCTAAAGATTTGAGTATTTGGGTCTTTCTTATGCTTTGATACAAGTGACGGTTTCAAAAGTGAAAGAAGAGTTCATAGACTCGAGTTGTGAGATTTGAGGACTTGAGTTGGTCTCTGTTAGATTAGATTCTTCTTCTCGTGGCAGTGATTCTGGTTGTGAGCCAAAAGGTTATTTTTGTTCTGTTGGGGGAATCAAAAACAGAAATAGGTGTGAGATCAGTATTCGATTCATTTGGCATCTTCAAAATCAAAGACCAAGATTTTTCTTGGTGAGTTTGTTTTGCTGTTAAATTATTATTTGTGGTATGGTATTCACGCGAGTCTCGTCTTGTCGGTTCCTTCGATGTCTGGTCTCTGTCCCGTATCGCGACAACTTTGTCATAGTCTGCGTTTCTATCTTTCCGATTCGCAATTCCACCGCAAATTTTTCTTCGGTGACAATTGTCCCACTTCGTCGCTCTTCGAATTTCCTTTCCTTTTGATTGTTGCAGTTACATTGTGGGGATATTGGTTAATTAACTCAAGTGTGGTATTATTTTCTGTTCAATCGTAAATTGGTCAAAATCTAGAGAGAGAGAGAGCACTTGCTGCAAGTTTAATCTGTGATATCAGAAGACTTTTCTACTGGGTTTCTTCTTTTGTTTGCTTCTTCCTTGGGTTGGTTAATCAGCTCTCTTTGTCTGTGACTAATTATTTTTTCTTCTTTTTCTTTTACTTTTTTTTTTTTTGTGGTTTTGGTCTACTAACTCTAAAACCATAGCTGTTGATGTTTATCTTATCTTATTGAGTTCAGGTTCCTGCCTCTTTCTTTATCCTTCTAATTCGTTGATGTATCATTTAATTTTCACTACCAGATGTATCCATGATCTTAAGCTGGCAGAATTATTTCCCATATCTCTATTGACGTTAGATTTCGGACCTTCCCCTTTCCGAGTTTCTGTTGACGATAATTTATTAACGTTTGCTTGTAACTTGACCAGATTTCGCATCACTGATATTGCTTCCCGTTTTATGAGTCAAGATCATTTCAGTGGATTGATGTTGGCACAAGTTTTATAGGAATTGAGATGTAAGAATCTCGGTGAGGAGGAGACTGAATGTTGCCGGATGATGGAGGATTATCATAAGGCTAATCGAAATGGAGCAGTTGATAATGGACACATTGCTGCTAGACACTCATATCAACCCTCCATGAAGGGCTCATTACCTTGGCTTGACATAAGAGTATTCTATGTAAGAGTTTGCAAATGTGAGCTTGATGATACTACTCCTGATGTTCTTACACTGAATCACATTCCTTTGAATCCCGATACCCTTCTAGAAGTTAACGGTCTCCGAACTAGTATATACTCCGACGGGGTTTCAACACTTCTCAAAAGAGACAGAGTGGATAGAAAATCAGAAGAAGTGACATTTGTGAGCACTGATAGCATAAGGACGAGTGGTGGTGTGAAGTATGAGGTGTTTGATAATGAAGTCCTTCTGCTTTCTGGGGTTTTAGAGCTACGTAAAGGCAGCAAGGGTCTTGAAGGCGATTCAAGTTTGGATGGAAGAAGGTGGACCATGAACTGTGAATCAGATTTAAGTCCAGGCACTAGCTTCTTCAGGGGGAAACAATTCATGTTACCTGATTCAGCTTCACCAACTATTGAGGTCTACATTGCAGGGTCCTTCTCTGGGACTCCAATTATATTAACAAAGACACTAATGCTCAGTTCTCAGAAGAAAATCATGAGGAAGGGAGTGTTGGATGCAATTCCTGAGCATGAAGCTGATGAGAACCAGAAACATGTTTCTTCAAATCTTGCTTTGCAATTGCAGGTAATTAAATGCTAATCGATTCTTCAATTTCATTTCTGCTATGTTGTGTTTCTTATATTTTGCTTTGTTGATCCATTAGCCAGGTTAACATAATGCCCTTTATGCCTTGTCTGATAGTTGAAAATTGAGCTCAGTGAAACCATGATATCCTTAAATACCGCACTTCTTTGTTTGGGGCTTGCTTTTAGGTGTTCTTGTATAAACTCAGTCTATGGACTTACTGCTCACTGTTTGCAACGCTTTATTTATCATGGCGCCTCCGTGTTAATGTTTCAATTTTTTATTGCTAACTCTCACTCATTCCTAAGTGGAATCTACAAATTTTGCAGTAAGCTGAGCTCAAAGAAGAAAAATCTGTATTTTATCCGTGTTTCTTTTAGCAACTGCATTGTGTTTAAGCTTTGAAGGACTGCTAAGGGCTGGTGTTTTTTTTTTCCCTCATTAACCCATTGATCATTGTTGAACTTTATGCCCCTTTTGAGCAATTTTTCGTTTATTACTTGGCTTCTCATGCCCAATGGAAGTTGAAATTTCTTCCTTTGACAAGCATCGGACATCTATAACTAGGAAATTTTTTTGTATCCCCCGGCAAATACAATTTACCAACTAGAGCGCATGAGCAAAGTCAATTTGGTCCGTTTGGTGTATATGCTGAGTGGCACATAAAACCTGCTCCTCTGATCAGATCCGTAACCTATAATCCATCCAATCCAATGAAAAAAAAATGGTTTAATAGACATAGTCAGAATTTGAAGATCATGTTTGTTTTTACAACAAGAAGAACACATGCTTCAACGTGAGATGGCAATTGTGCAGGGCCCAGATTATTTAGAGCAGAAACCAGAAGATGAGGAATACAATGTCCTATACACAAGAACAGGGTATCAAGAGGAGTTAGAAGATGGGGAACTTTCATGGTTCAATGCTGGTGTGAGGGTTGGTGTGGGTATTGGCCTCAGTGTGTGCCTCGGGATTGGTATTGGCGTTGGACTGCTCATTAAAACTTACCAAGGAACCACTCGCCACTTCAGAAGACGCCTCTTGTAAATTACTCTCTCCTTTTTGGCACTCTCCCTCCTTTCATCTAAAGGAAACACAAGAATGGTTTGCTCAACTGAGTTCTTTTTTTTTTTTTTTTTTTTGCTTTTTACAGAATAATTGTTTTGTTTCTTGTTTTGCTTGCATCAGACATAGTGTAAGTTCAATTCCATCTCCGTGTAGGTGATATGTTCTTGATACACGCTTCTCCTGCATTTAACCTGTGGGTAACGTTTGTTGTGGATGTCTTAAATTTTTGAGTGCTCGAAGTTGAAGGCCTGTTCATAGGAACTTTATGATATGCATGGAAGATATTGGACGCTTGATATGATTTTTGAATTTTGATGCTTTATATGATGAAGTATTCGGTGAATTGATTCATAAATTGTTGGCAAAATTCCGAGTTTTCCTGCATCAAATATCGCCGTAGAGAATTAGCAGTCTAGCATGCTGTTTAAGTCGGAGCAACACTCCAACTCGGAAAGCAAAAGAACGAAGTTGGCAAAATTTAAGAGGGAGAATTACGGGGTAGATGCGGGAAAGTGGTTTATCTTTGGCATAAATTAGTATAAAAGTATCTCAAAAGAATGTGTGGAACGTGAGGGACTAATCTTAGGAGTTAGGATGAGTGAAGAGTGCAAGGTGGATCCAGCTTAGAAAATATAGAAGAAACCATTCTGGATGCGCTTTTCTTTTTCCGCCCGTCTTCCTCTTCACTGTCCCTTCCGCTCATTTTAAGGACATTTTAATGGGAGCCATGGAGCATTGACTTGCACCAAATCCAAAATAAGCGTTTTTATTATTAGTACGGATACAATTTAATATTCATTAAACTAGCTAAACTAATGCCTTTATCAGTTTCCATGGCAGCCGACTCCTTGAAGGTTACGTCTTTTAAAGATAAAAGCATCAAATTTATAAGAATATTTATCGCTACATTTATGTACTCCTTCATGCTTTACTTAGTCTTTATTTATTTGGCAGCTTGAATTCCATCTGACAATTCCTTTATAAAATACAAATAGCTAGAAATATTTTAGTGTATACTACATAAATTTTATGCTTCTTGCCATACCTCTTCTATCCATATGATTACTATCCTTCATAAGTTTTATGCAGAGAAGGAACGAAAAACGGATCTATAAGTATGGGTCCGAGTTTAATCAAGACAATAGTTCTCCCAGCCGAACCAAAAGCGCCAACAACTTATTAGCTATACAACCACCGGAAAACAGGCAGATCAGCTTGATAAGGGAAAACAGTGAGAAACATGCAAATGCAGTCTCAAAAGGATAGTTTCAAAGGGGTTTGGAGTTATCCTATGTGACTGTTAGTTTTTCTCTATACATGTATATATACACGCGCCATAAGTTGATAAAACTTCAACTTCCGAGCACTCGGTGTCCATATGCACATCCCTTGAACAGAAGGTACGCAACAAAGACGCACGCTCGCAGGTACTCATTCACCAGAGGTCTTATTATAATCGGGTTTGACGGGTTGGGCTGCACGCCGGAACCAGGTATTGAACGCTGTGACCAGGTGAGGACAATCTTCCACGTTTCGGGTTGAGAAGCTGAGACAATGCGGCAACAATTCTTGGGCATCTGACATAGGAAGTGTGGAGATAATGCTCAAGAATATTTCCTCCAGCTCCACATACAATGCTTTGTAGGGCGACATTGGTGAAACGTTGTCCTTGCATACGACTAGAACAGGAAGCCAGTCTTCCACAAGCTTCCTTCTTACCTGAACAGATCATTCAGATGTAGACATTAGCATTCTAACGCGCTCACAACTGCCAAGTTCTAGTTCACTCGGACGTCTAGATTAAACGCGAACTATATTATAGTTTTTTAAGACATAGGCACATGAACCTGCAGTAGACTTAAAATGGACAAAAGAAAAGACGAACTCTATGTGACTCAACCAAGTTGTGCTGCTTCTATCACAACTCAGCAAGTTATGCCGAATAGCCTATAATTCCTGAATAAAGAACAAAAATCTGCGACGGTAGCAACACAAAATGAAGTAAATCTAGTCTCAAACTCATTCACAAATCACAAAAAATCAGACTCTCAAAATATACGGTTAATCGACAAAATCAGGTATCCAGTGGGTAAAGACACCAAGCCATAATCTTTAGAGAATCCTACTTGATTTGCATTTCTGAATATTCGTTTGATGCATCAACCACAACAGACCGCTTTCAGAAGTGAACCCAAGTACATAGAGGACCATAAATAATTTATTTTTTCAACAAGTTTAACAGGACATGACAATAGCCAATGGCCATGTGCAGGCAGTAGAAGGAACACACGTCTGTAACAGGCCAACTCTCCAAGAGTCAAGGCATTTCATCTTTCACCTCTCTTCAAAGGAGGGGAAAAAAACAGAGAGATAAGGCGTTTCAATTCCACATATAGAAAACTCAATATCCATAGCCTATACAGACGAGTTGTTGAGATTTTAAAAGAATCCTTAAACCCCAGTATAGCCAAATAAATGCGTGTAGATGAAACTCCGCTTCCAAAATGTAGGAAGAATTAGATCAATTAAAGGGTTCATAAATATATGCAGAGATATTTAAGAAAAGAAAAGGAACAGCGCCATCGAGGTACTAAAAGAACATCCCAGAATAGCGCTTTCAAGAATATCTAACCAATAAGCTTGGCAGCTTCATATCAGTACTAGTGGGCAGTGGCTCACGGCCGTATTCCATAAGACCCAACAGGTTCACATGTCGGGGCAACAAAGAAAGTCCATAATTAATACAGATAAAACATTGCATGAGAACAAGGACTTGAATGCAGATAAACTCTCGCAAGTAAAAATCACATTAGGAATTTAATCAGCCGAAAAGGATAGAACATTCGGTCTCAAAATCATGCCATGTAACGGACTGAGTAAGAGGATTAAAACTACGAATGAAAAGTTTCAAGGCTGAGAATCATTTACCTGTCTAGCAGCCAAAATAGCGCCCGCGGAAACAGCCTTCGCTAACCTGTAAGTGCACCGAAGCAAAACTGCAGGAAGACCCGGGACAATATTCCTCCAGGCATCATCCCGGAATGCCCTCTGCAAATCAGCTGTGAACGCCGCTTGCTCACTCCATTCTTTAACGGCTTCATCAGCCACCCTCAGCTCAATCATTCTCTCCAACAACCATTGCAAATGCCTCCCAGACGTCAACGCTTTGTGCAAATTCAGTCTCTGTAATGCCTCCGTCTCATTATGGTCCCCTCTAAAATCGGGACTGGAATACTCCTCCAAGCACTCCTTCGCAGTCTGCAAGGACGTCTTGAACGCCTTCTCCAGCACTCTCTTGGCCGATTCCCTCGAAGAGAAATCCCGCAGAATCTTGGCCACAAACGCCTTGACGAATGCCGTGTTCTGATAATTGTAAATAGCCGACGAAATCAAACCTTCAAGCATTGCTTCGCAAGAGTCCTCCCTTACAGGAGATACCCTCGCAAGAAGCTCTTTCGACTCCTCCTCGCTGAGAAGAGGGATCAAATTCAACACTCTCCTCTCTTCCTCTTCGGACCAAGGCACTGCTTCCAGGAAAGTAACGCACGAACGAACGCATTCCTCGAACAGCAATTCTAGGGCAACTGGAAGAAGATCCAGAGCAGTCGACGCACTATCGATCGTATTAGCGAAATCATTAGTGTACAGCAATTCCAGCACCGTGAGATGAGACTGAATGGCACCCGAAGCAAGTGGGACCCCGAGATTAAGCTTCAACAAACCATCAGACTCTTGAGGACGAGACTGGCCACTCCATCGATCCGATAGAATGACCGAGAAGTATTTAGAGCGGCGGAGAATGTCAGAGTGAAGGTACACGTGAAGGTCGGAGGTAGACACGGCGGGATCGACAGAGCCAGAATCGGAGGAAAATGAAGATCCAAGCGGAGAGCCGCTATCAACGAAGAGGCGGAGGATGACGTCGGCAGTGGAAGAGTCATTGAAAAAGGGGGTGGTGGCGCTACTGCCGCCAATGCAGGGGGAACTACGAATACGGGGGTTTTGGGAAACTACACAGAGGGATTCATCGGAGAAGGAATTATCAATGACGGCGCAGCAGGAAACGTTCTGCCGAGTGGGGGTGGCGCGTGGCCTCTTCTTGGGGCCGCCGGTGATCATTTGGGAGAGGGAAGAAAACGAAAATCAACGATCAATCAATTGAAGAGAGAGAGAAATACAGAGTTAATCAAGAGGTAGGCGTTTAGGGGTGATGAAATGGCTGGAACAGGAATATGAATGAAGAATCCTCTGGCCTTCTCCAGGAAATTCAACGCAGGAACGTCCAGAGTGTGTTTTCAACGCGGGCTGCGCTGCTATGGAAAATCCCACTCTCCGTTCTCAGTACTTCCAATTATCCACATATAAATTGCATTATCGTGTTTAATTTAATTTTTCATACATTTAAATAAAATAGAGGGGACAGACGATTTTTGGGGGTCCTAAGCTAATGTTTATCCACGGGAGTCCGAATGATGATTAACAGCATGATTCCGTGAAGGGGAATAAAATGTCCATCTAGGCTTTTATTGCACTCCTAGTGGATAAGGGCGGTAATAAATAATGAGGATGAAGACAGAAAAGTATGATTAATTCAGTGGATTCACCGTGAGTATGGATTTTGTCAATCAAATTCATCATGGCCGTCATTTTGATCCAACAATCCACATCGCATCACTCCACTGCCACGCATAATAAAACGCTAGGCTTCATTTGTTGAGTTCGGTGCAAAAGCCATCCACAGTCCCTGAGCGCGAGCAACACATTCTTCATCTGATGTTTCCAGAATGTGGCTCCAACACACGCGATCCCCGCTCACCTCATGCAAGAGGGGAAAAAAAATCCCTGAATTCAACGACTCGCGACATGCCACGTGTGTAGACCGACCATAGCAGTTTTTCAATACCACACAACGACGCCCGCCTTTTTTTCTGGTTGGGGGGGGGGGGGATTGAAACGGAGACGATGCCATCATGAAGATAAGCAGTGCCACATTTAATCAAATCAACATCTGTTGAGGCGGCAGTTCCTAAATAGAGTAATGTTCTCTTTAACCCATATATGAAAACTAGGAAAAATACTACTTCTTCCGGTTCTAATTATAAAAACTAGTTGATTAATTTGAAGAGATTAAAAAAATAAGTTAAGTTAGTTATTTTGTAATAAATAGATGTTGTCTAACTACCAAAAAAAAAATAGATGTTGTCTTTTCTAAAATATTCTTTCTAATCAAGTTTATTACCTAAAACTATCATTATTAAAAGGACTATCTTGGAAAAAAATACATAAATATGATAGACAAAGTGAATTGGGGTCTTATAATTAGAACCAAAATAAAAATCAAACGATATCTTATATTAAAAATCAAAGGTAGTACTTATTAGTATGTACACGACGAAAAAAATAATCTATATAATATGCAAACGGGGTTTTTCAGTGCTTGCCTCTTTTGAGAGCGTTAAAATCAATACGTGGAATACTAAAATCACAGCGGGGTGTTTGGAATAAAATTTTATAAGTCATATAGTTTTTACAAATGAAGTTTAAATAAATTGAGTCTTTCTCTTAGATCAAGATATACCTCCAAACTCAAATAGTGCTTATAAAAATATTTACAAATTGTCTATGAACAAGATCCTAACATCAACAATGAGATTCGAATTCACAATCTTATGAGTTATGAATCGACTCTTTATTAATCAGACAAACTCTTGTTATCTTTATAAGTCATATAATGGTCACTATGCATATATTGTCTTTTTTTTTTGGCCACACATGGGCGTTTTAATATGGAAAGTAATCTTATTCGAGATATTATTAAACATTAAACGTGGACATTTCTCTCAACAAGAAGTCAAACTTTGATTGAGCATGTTACGAGAAACTAACCTATTTCATTGAACAAGTTCTGTTGGTACGTTCATACTGTCTTCAATCTTCCATGAATGCGATAGAGTGGGAAATTTCCCACTTTTTTTTTTTTGCTAAAAAAAAAGATGTTAGACCAAGACCATTATGAAGGAACATGCTAGCCAGATGGAGAACGGGCCTTCCCCATTAAGTTTCAAGAAGTGGCCCAACAAAAAAAAAGGGGGGCATTGATTAATGCGGAAATGCCAATGGGGGACGGCCGAAGAAGTGATTGATCCTGCCCCAAAAAAACCAAAGCCTACTTGCGTACGATCAGGAGTTTCAAATTATGCACATTGGTAGACAACAGAATATGTTAGCTGATGCATCAGTTAAGCAAAAAATTTCAAAATCCGGCTACTTTGATTCAGATTCATGTCCGGTCAATTTAAGGGCTACGCTTCTTAATAAATATATGGGATTTAAAGGGTGTTTGGATAAGAACAAAACTATGGTTTCAAAAATGCTTTTACGGTATATAAAATAAATACGTGGAGGAGTTTGTTTCGATTTACAAAAAAGTGCTTCTAAAAAATGATCATGGGGTTATCCAAACACCCCATTAATCCTACTCTCTAGTCTACTTTTCCACTTTGGGCCTTAGCCCTCCTCAGTAGCAAAAAAAAAAAGTGAGGCAGTGATTGCCAAGTATGCTGCTTTGAATCTGGCCGTGATCTTCAATGTAAAGTGCTGGATTCAACTGGACTTACTTTTTCTTCAGGTAAAAACACCCAAAAAAAAAATAAAAAAAATTATTTTAATTCTCCTTAAATAATGTAACTTGATTTGTAAATATAAAAATTTAACTAATAAAAAATAAATATGCAAATTTAATTTATAAATGTAATTTTTTGGTGACCTCTTTATATATATTTTTTAAATCTGAGACATTTGAATAATTTTTCCCAAAAAAAAAGTTAGATTCACTTAAATACTACAACAATATGCTTATAGCATCACAAATTTGATCTCATAAGTGATTATAGATTTGCAACTAAATCTGACCCAAAAAAATCTAACCAAGAACTGCTTATTGTAATTAACATCACTCCACAATTCTTCATATGTGCACTGACGTTACTGTATACGGCAGAACTCAAAATTAAATAAGATAACATTATTCCAAAATTTACACCCAAGGGCTTATTTATAATCAAGGCACATAAAATTCACAATAACTTGATAATTTTGAAATATTTTCATTTAATAATTGCTCTGCACAATTATCCATGCGATTAACTACAGATTAATTTAATCTCACCATGCTTGTCCATGACAAATCTGAATAATGGTCTCATCCCAATATATTCAAAAACGCAATGAAGCAGTGGCAGCATCTTTATGGCACATGGGAGACAACGCTGTGCCGTTCAGGATATGACTTGGATTCCAAAGTCAAAATGCTCATCATCTCACATCATCATGGATATTTGATCCTACATGCGACATGGGATAAAAATTTTGCAAACTATCTCAATTAATGATTCCACTCAAGATAATACTAGTTCCGGTCTTAATTATAAGAGTTAATTGACTAATTTGAAGAGATTAAAAAAAATTAAATTAGTCATTTATAATAAATAGGTATTATCTTTTCTAAAATATCCTTGCTAATCAGGCTAGAACTACAATTATTAGAAAGACTATCTTAGGAAAAAAATACATAAATATTAGAGACAAAGTGGATTGAGGTCTTATATTTAGGACCAAAATAAAATTCAAACGAGATGTTATATTAAGGACCGGAGATAGTATAATTCTTCTAATTCATTAAGTTCGGAATTATGAGAATTGACTTGTTTAAAATAAAAAATTGTTAGCCATGTGGTATTATCACCCTATACTATAACATTGATAGAAAATTTATGTATTTTGAGGAAAATAATCATGACGTGTTAAAGAATGAATATAGAAAATTTGACTTTTTCTTCCCCAAAATGCTTGCTTGTTGTAGGATTTTTTAAACAATTACAATTATTTGCGAAAATCTCACAATAATTTTTCCTAGTTTTTTTAAGCGATTCGTGACCTTCAAGATGTTTGACTTTTTGTGCAACCATTGATCCCATTTCTTAATGTCAAAGTTAAATTGTTTCACAAGCTTAAAACTGGGTCCTCAACCTATTCTATCACATGAAACCCTATCGGTAAACTAGTTTCTTATAGAAATCAAAAGTTTAATTTAACTATTGTGACAACACAGTTTGATTTAATTATTTATGTGGGCGTTAATTTAATGATATTAACTTTAGTTAAAAATAAAAACCTCTAAGGCCTCCGAAAACAAGTTCTATAATCTAAAATTTAAAACGACGACCGTTTTAAATTAAATATATAACATTGAGAAAACGGCGTTGTGTAGATCAATATTAATATAAGTTGGGAAAAAATATCAATATTAATATAAGAGTTGTTGCAATTTAAATTTAAATTAAAAAATGCTTCTTTTTCACAGCATCCCGATTTCAATTTTTAAACAGCACATGTCAAATTCTATAATATAATTGTTTTTTTATAAAAACAAAAAAGAAAAAATTCAACCATCTTCCGAGTTCAAACATAAATCCATCTATGTTCCTGACAAAAAAAAAAAAATCCATCCGTGTTCAAAATATAAGAAGGTGACTTTTTTTTTTTCCTCATTATTATTCCTTTTACTACACGCTCTTTGTGATCACTAGTGCTACTGCTATGCAATTTCCCTGAAAGACATTAAATACTAGGCTGCGACCGCACCAGCGCCTCATAAATCATAATGTTTCACGAGCCTTGAGTTCTTTCATTAATGCTAATATATTCATTCATTAAGAAATGAAATTCCATCGCCGTAGCAAGTAGATCCAAGTCTGGTTTGACGTTTTTCGTTATTTTTTAAACATAAAATAACATTTATTTCACGCTACCGTTGATTTGGTAAAATTTCATCAGAAAAGACTCTATTTAAAAACCGTATTAAATGCATGTTTAATCAGTTTCACGCAGTAACTGCGCATCAAATACGCTGGGGTTAAAAAAAAGATAGCGACGGATCATGACGCAGTATCTGTAAATGTCATTACTGAACCAGCCAGATGGAGTTACCAAACTAGATGGCAATATTTTATTGACTCTGCATGATATATCAGGGATTTTAACCAAAAAAAAAGGGGGGGCATTGGATTTTTTTTTTTTAATAACTCACGCAGGCATTTTATTTTCTAATAGAGAATTTAAACGGACAATCTCATATTTCAAAAAAACACTTAAGAGAAGTGTTCGATATCATTGACTTACAAGACTCTGCTCAGGTAGTAAATACTCATGCAAGAATAATAAGAAGGATTAAAAACTCCATCGAGTATTAATTCAATTAACAAGATGCAGTTCATACTCATGAGATGTTGGTTTAGACCTTGTTACTATTTTATTGATAGTTCTTAGTTTTGCCTGTGATAAATATAAGCTCTGTATGAGAATTTTTATTTCCCC